ATTTTATCTATTTTAAAATCTGTTCCTACTTCAAGCATTGGAGATGCATTCAACGGAACAACAATGTTATGAAACCAAATAACATGGCTGACAGCCTTCCAACAATTAGTGCAGATCAACTGACTAAAGCTGTCAGTTTGGCTGCAGCTGGTACATTAGCAGCCCTTGATGCAGATAATTCTGAAGATGAATGGCACAACAATGGTAAGATACTTATTTTGAACATTTTTGAAAGGATTGTGGCATGGGAATGAAGAACTAAGCCATAGCAAGTTTTCTTTAAGTAAAATGAATAGTATCATCATCAACGGAGCTTTTACCCATGGATGATTCTGGCCTGGTTTACAACTCAGAAGGCTTTTCATCTCCACAGCTATTGTAAATCGGAATCAACATTATCAATCCATGAATCACGTCCTTGTCCAGGCATAGGTTAAAATTCTGTAATTTTCATTGTGTTTTCTCATTATAGTTAAGCTTTCGCAAGATTTTTATTGTTCCATGACAGGGTGGTTAGCCCTGCGCACAACCCCCTGATGTGGGGCCCCTCACACCTCTCTTGGTAGCACAATCCCCTGGTGTGGGGCCCCTCACAGCTCTCTTGGTAGCACAACCCCCAAGTGTTGGGCCCCTCACAGCTCTCTTGGTAGCACAACCCCCTGGTGTGGGACCCCTCACAGCTCTCTTGGTAGCACAAACCCCTGGTGTGGGGCCCCTCACAGCTCTTATGGTAGCTTCTATTTGTTTTGTTTTTTTTCAGGTCCCTATCCTTTTTAAATGGCTTTACTGACTGCAAGGCAGCAGTTGTTGACTTTGGTCTGCCCTAGGTATACTATTTTCCCAGAACCTGCCAAACCTGGTGGGCTTTCCCCTATCCACCACCTGGATGTGCCATCGTAAGGCATGGGCATCAAATTGCCAATATTGCTAATGAAAATCTAAAGATATTTAGGCAATTTAAATTGCTTTAGGAACCTAAATTTCTACTGGCAGCTCTTCATTTGCCAATTAAGTGTAAGAATGAAGCAAAACTAAATTCACTTTTTCGTTCAGTAGCTTTCAGTGCCCTTGATTTCTGCTCATTCCCCAATCAAAGTGACAATACCGGCCTCTTTTTGTCTTTAAAGAAATCACTGGATGTTATTAATTAAAATGTTTTTCTTGAACTGACAAAAATATGATTTTCCTTAATTTTGGTATATATTTAAAATATAGTTAGGAATGGGGGCCTCAGTGCATTACTTGAATAGGTTAGCCAGGAATAGGGGGCCTCAGTGCTTTACTTGATAGGTTAGACTTCAGTGCATTACTTGAATTGGTTTGCCAGGCATAGGGGGTCTCAGTGCATTACTTGAATTGGTTTGCCAGGCATAGGGGGCCTCAGTGCATTACTTGAATAGATTAGACAGGAATATGGGGCCTAAGTGCATTACTTTGCCCATGGCCCCTAATGCTGTTAAACTTGGCAGGATCTAATAGGCGATTAGACACCCCACACGAGAAACTAAATTGTATGATAATAAAAATATTTCATCCTTTATCTTTTCCTGAGTCTATTAAATATTGTAACATTACACCAATGGCTACATGCGCCCAAAAGAACTTAAGTGTCTTTACCCAGTGCATTTAATTTATTCAAAATTTGCAAACTTATTTAATTTTATGTTTAAAAAGTCTCGGTGGTATGCATACAATGTGGTTGGTCCACATTTAAAAGATGTTATGAAATTCATAGCGAGCTTATACTTTCAGGTTTTCAACTTAAAATTTACTAACGATATAAAAATGACCTTTCGACTACAGCATTAAAAAAAATGTTTTGCTTTTGTATAAGCATTTTTTGTCACAAAACAATGATATTATAATTGTGTTAAAAATTCAATGTGCTAGGTCAGTGGTTCCTAAAATTTTTCAAACCTCTGCGCCCTTGCTCTGCCCAGGTTTTCCCAAGGTGCCTTATGTGTAATTCTAACCAATACAATATCAAAATAAAATATTTAAAAAAATTAAATCTCTAGATAAAATGCATAAAACATGTAGTTGAGATCACAAAGGGCCACCTTGTAACCAATTGTAAAGACGTCTTCAAAGAGTTGTGACTTGGTAAGATACTGGTTCGATCTGGTCTGCTAGATGTAACATTGACTTGAAATAAAAAATTTTGTATTATTTCGTGGCGCCATGTGGGGGGGAGCCGTGGCACCACACTTAAAGAACCACTGTGCTAGTTAATAAAAACACCTATTTTATAAATCCTAATTTCATTGGAATTATCTTTGATATAAATGTACTCTGTGTGTCAATGAATGAACCAATTATAACATTGGCACTGGTATTTGTGTGCATCATTTCAAAAGATGTTTTGCATATTCCATATAAGCAAAGGACATTTAATGACATATTTAATTTAAATATTTCATGAGTCACACAGTATCATAGTGGGATTACACTCATTTCAGACCAAGACTCTGATATGCTGCCAGCAAAGAAAACTGATGCACAGCCAGTTCAGACATCATTAAAACTCATGGAAACCTTGTCCTCATCTGTCACTTCCAATTTGGCAAAGCTCAATCAGCAATTAGATATGCAAAAGCCATGCTTGGAGTCAGAATCTTCAGTAAGGAAATCTCTCCTGGGTGTGGGCAGGATTAAGCACTATGATGGTACAACTCTACCCACAATAAAAAAATATTCGAGCCGTAAAAACTACAAACTTCTACCCCCTTTAATGGCTAACCAATCACGGGCTCCTGTGCTTAAGCCAGGACCAGATGTTGTTGTTCCGAGACAGATAGTTACATTGAGTCACCGCCCAAATTTATGCAGCCCACAAGAGCTCAAATCCATGCCGGTACGGCTCGCACGTTACACTACAAGCTATTTATTCTTAAGGTCAACAACTCCTCCTCAAACCTCATCACTGGCAGAAAAAGTTGACCAAGGGGTTGTAAATAAATCATTGGAGTCACCAGATGACACATCTTCATTTACCAAAAAAATTGTTACCAGTTCTCATACAGCCCCTGTTGTCACAAACTTAACTCCGGCAACATCTGCACCCGTTGCTCCTGCTAACAGTAAAATAATGATTCCTTTGCTGCCAAGAGTTCTTCCCCAATCACAATCAGTGCGTCAGATACCGGTCTCTGTTGTTATTTCACGTTCAAATGGTGGAAGAAACCATTGGAGATCACAATCATCCACTCTCAGACCTAACATACAGCCTTCGACTAGGCTGCCCTTCACTCTAAATAATTGTTTGCCAAACAAAGTTGGGTCTGTGAAACTTCGAGCTTGTCCCCCAGATAGTAGCATTATTTACGTCCAGGAAATATGCAACATGCAGAGGAATGACGTAATTACGTCTGTGGTGTCAGAATGTCAAACTCCCAAAAGTGTTACTAATGGCATAGCACACATTCAAATCCCTGTCCTTCTCCAAGAATCAGTTAGTGGAGATTTAACAAAGACATCGTCTGGTGGGCACAATCCAATAGCATTGTCTTGTTTAAGGTCCGAGTATAATGTGGATTCCAAGACTGGAGAGCAAACTTCTCTGGTGTCTTCAACACATTCACAACTTGCAACTGTGCCAGCCACATCATCCACAAAGTCAACTGTTTCTATTTCGACCAATCAAACAACTTTCTGTGACCATCTCCATCAGGTAAACAGTTTGTTCAGCCAACCTTCAAGCTCTCGGGTCCATGGCACTGGAACGAATTCTGCCTCGAGTATTTTTGCCAAGCCAAATATACAGAAAACAGCAGCGACTGTTCCACTTAATTCAGATTCATCCTGTCTAGAAAAGTCCAGTGAAACATCAGTTCAACACAATAAAGTCAGGCCACTGCTGCAAAGTAAGCCTCTACTCTCCAATGTTTTACAGACCCACATAAGGCCACTGATTACTCCGGCTTTTTCTTGTACAGTTTCTCCACTCAATCTGTCACAGCCAACAACCAAACCGCCAGCAACAACTCCACCATGTGTATCTGCTGGCACAGAGCCACAGACTAGCAGTGTGCTCAATACAACCTCCCTACCAGTGGCCATTTCCCCTAATATGATACTTACTCCCCCAGTTTTCTCAAAGCCAGCAAGTCATTTAATTTGGTCAACAAAGCGAGTCGCTGATAAATCTTCTGCTCTAACCAAACACGGCACCCAGTCTTCAAGTCCAAGGATTTCTCATGAGGCGCCTAAAATAAGTGGCAGACAACTTCCTGTCTCATCAACAGCATCACCATCAAATAATATGGCGCTTGTAGGCATAATTTCACCGGTATCGTTAAATGCTACGCAAGTCATCAAGTCATCACCTGCCATTGAAACCCTAAATTCTGGGGGAATGAGAACTGATTCAAAAATTCCTTCTCTGAACAACGCCTCAACTTCTTGTGACAGAAGAGTTGAACTTGTCTATCCAGAAAAATTTCCAGCCAATTCTGTCCATTCATGTCCAGTTCTGTCATCAATTTTGTCAGTTTCTAATCAAAAAGTTTTACCATCTAACCCTAACCCTAGTCAGACACCAGGTGAGGTCAAGTACCCTACATCTGCTCCACATCTGCAGAGAAATCCTTCAATTTCATTTGTCTCTTCCCCGCCTCGTCAGGCATCTCATCTGCCCCTGCGAGCCCCTCAGCTTCTTTTAAGAGCAACATCAAGGCCCATGGGTGTACCTCCTTTCACAGTTATTGATTCTCCACTATTCACTAAGAATCCCCAGACCCTTGGTAAAAAGGAAGAGAAACAACAGTCTGAAATGCCATCTTCTTTAGCAGCCCCTTACATTCATCCTCAGATATCTCACATCACTGCCACCAAGAGCAGTATTCAGAAAAATATTGCACAAACTACTACACATGCTCTGACTTATGAATCATCGGATGAATCCAACTCTTCAGCACACTTCTCCACAGCTGCTGCTGTAGCTGCAATGGTGTCCCTGTCAGAGACAAACACCTTCGATTCTATTAACACCCTGCACCATGCAGAAAACACCCTGACTCACTCATCTTTTCCCATAACGTCCTCGAATGGGGCTGGCAGCGCTCAATCCAGCACCACCATTTTGAAAGAACGGGTGTCACAGTTTTTGATACCATCAGGTGACAGAACCAAGCTAGTTATCTCCCCTGCTGGCATCCAACATTTGCAGTTGCTGCTCCGAAAACAAGGAATGTCAGAGGGCTATTTTGTCATAACATCACCAAGAGCCCCGGTTACTGCCTATTCTAAATGTGACTCTGTGACTACTGTGAACACTGCTTTCAGTGAATCCCTACCTAAAAATCAACAATTGAATGACGGCATGAACGATACATCTTTATTCCAAAAGCCAAAATCAAATGATGCCAGACCATGCAATTCTGATAAGAACTCCACTCTGACGTCTTTACTTGCAGCAAGCACATTTAAGACAGAATGGGTAAAGAATGAAATTAGAGAAAAGGACACAGGCGATGTGCATAAGACAGTACGACATAATGACACAGACAGTAAGTTTGTTGACACTGAGGACAGTGACAGTGAAAACTCTACTACGTCTTCTGTGTCCAGGTCTAGTTCCACGGCACTTGTTATTGAAACAGGAGAAGATGAAGAGCAGATGGAGATGGGAAAAGCTTCCAGCGATGCGACAGCAGCAGAAAATGTCTCTTTGGTTAAGGGGAAAAAATCAGGGGAGGAAAGCAACATGTTTGAGTCGTGCCACGATGACCTACGACAAAAGTCTGGAAGGCAGCATGATGATTCCAACTGGGACACAGATGTCAACCACGGTAACCATGAAAATGGATGCGTGCCTCAGAGCCCGTTGTCCTTGAGTGATCTGATTCGTCAGCAGCAGAACAGGAGCAGTTTCTCACGTCATGGTGAATTCAGCTACCTGTCGTCACCTGATAGCAAGGCTAAAGAAATTGATGAGAGTTTGAGGGGAAGCTCAGACACCCTTCAGCTACCTTCATCTGCAAGTGAAGAATTCACATTCCCCATGCCTGTTTGCCCCACATCTGCCTATAGTTCTATGGCTCACCAGCACATCAATCCAGAAGTACATACTGGCTACCAGCACAGCTTGTATCCATCTGCTTCCTTGTTCTCAAATGATATCACTTTTGAGACCAGCTCACATCCTGCCCACTTGGACTCCCGGGCACGTCAAAACATTGGCGAGGCCTCATCTGGCACTTCACCTAAAATGCTGTCCACCCCGATGAGTGTGCCTAGTCCTAAATCACCGTTGTCTGTCAGCTCATCGCAGGCCCTAGACCACAATGCTCCTCTGAACCCACCAATGACACCCAACACCATGCTGATCAACCTGCTAAACAGAGTACCGACCCCTCTACTTACAAACCACCAGGACCTGCTCTCGGTTCCCACTTCCCAAGAAAATAATATCCAACACAATGAAAATGAAGCTTGCCTGGGGAACTTTGAAATGATTGATGAGAAAAGAAGCGATGGCATGTTCCCAGGGAAAAGAATAAATTATTCAGATAATGTTGACCAACAACAATCAGAGAACCAAAGTCTCTTGTACCCTGAAGGTTCTAGACAGCTTGCACCAAACAGGGGAAAATTTGAGTCTGTACAGAATGATATAGAGCTGAATTATAATAACTCAAACCCAAGTGGAAACGAATCACATATGGTTCACATTGATAACAGGTCTTCATTACACTCCTTTGATGGGGAATCATTTTCTCACTGTACCCAACAAGGGGGAGGCTCGGCAGTAGACTTCCCAGAAAACTATTGTTCAAAAGATCACAGCCTGTGCCATAATTTTCACTGTAAATCTTGCTCCGGTCCTTTGGTTGTTACGGTCAATCTCGATTCTCATTCTCCTACTCGCCATGCCACTGGACCGGCTCAGACAAGTGTTGAGAAATCAACAGAATTACTTGAACACTTTGAATCTTCCAACCAGATCGATACATCTCTGAACCTCAAACTGAACTGCATACAAGGGAGCCCAGGGTTACCCCAAAACATGGTCCCACAGAAATCAAGTGACACAGACATCCTGCGACATTTAATTCTGAGCACAAGCAGCTCTTCATTTCACACCATGCAGCCTGCAGAAGTCTTAAGAGGCCAGCATTATCAAGTCTCACCATCTGCATTTAGTCTCTCCCAGGATCACCTGCCACAGCCATCTCATTTTGCTTGCCAGGTGGAATCATTTTTGGAGCCAGAAAACCATCACAAAGAAATAAGAGAGAGCAGTCAGAATCAAACTCAGTCTTTTTCCGCACACAATGATAATTTCCTCCACATGGAATCCCACTCGCATGGTCGACCTTCACCTTCCTTTGACAGCACAAATACAGCTTTCAAAAACACAACATTTTCTGAGTCAGTTCATAGTTCTTATGAAAATCCAGTCACAAGGTCATTTGGAAATGAAAACAATGCTACTATGGGAAGCCAGCCCAACACATCCTACATCATGCAGGCCAGTTTGAGTAATGATCCCTCATACAGTGCGCAGGACCTTAGTAAAAGTAACATCCCTTTTCTTGGATCTGATGAAAGGCTGCAGCACCTGAACGAATTCAGGACAGATGAGCACCAAGATGACATGTACTACCAGCATTCCCAACAAGGTGACCTCCACCAGCAGACCACCCTCCACCTTTACGACCCAACCAGCCAGCATCAAAGCCACGACCTTGAGTACCACATGGACAGCATGCCTCAGCCGCACCAAGCCCATCAGTACTCTGCTGCTTCACTGTCACACGCAGACACGTCCAGGATCTTTGAGGACCACCCAGAGAATGTGGGCTTCATGGAGAGCCAATACTCAGCTCAGTACTACAGCAATGGGAATGTTACAACCGACCTGCCCATGTTTTCACAGCAGTGTGCAGTGGGCTCTGAGGCTCCGGTCCTTGGTAACACAGCTAATCGTCCGTGCAACATTCCTTTCAGCAGTGCACCAACAGGTAAAAAAATGTTTAAAAAATTTTTTTGTAATAGTAAAAGCCAAATTCATATCCACATCATCATATGAAAAAATATTATTCTTACTTGAAAGAAACTTTTTTTATAGGGTTGTAACCTCATATTTGGCTATGAACTTATATGTTGGATATTACCTAAATGAACCGATGAAGTATCATTAAACTTTGACAAAATAAAATCTTTCTACACAACAGATTGAGACTCTTAATCTCAAGAATATAATAAGATGCCATAAATATGAATGAGAGTTTTTTTAAATTTATATTTGTTTATTGATGAATTAAGACTACTCCTAAAATCTCACTCTTAGGTCTTCAGCTTGAGTTTCATTAAGAATAATCCTAAAATCTCACTCTTAGGTCTTCAGCTTGAGTTTCATTAAGAATAATTCTAAAATCTCACTCTCAGGACTTCAGCTTGAGTTTCATTTCCCCACGGAAGATGAAGATGAATCTACTATAGAAAAGCAGCCTGTGTTGCCAAGTGCTTCCTTCTCTCCACCTAGTGTGGCAGATCAGGCCGTGACCCCTGACCCAGGGGGCATGGGAATGTATAATGGAACGTTCCCTAACCTGTCAAGTAAGTTATCACTTTGCATTGTATCAATGTTAACTTCAATAATAATTTTGTTTAACAATGCCAAATCTGTTTATGTTACTGAACTGCTTTAAAAAAAAAATGATAATAATAATTTTTCAAAATAAATAGTTGCCCCAAATATCAAGTTATTTAATTTGATATAACATGTGTTATCAACAGTGTATGAGATGTACATGAGGGGAGGCAACACAGATGGACGATGTGCAGAGAATGATGCAGCTCAAGAGCTGGGCAATTGTGAGTTGTTACTTGTCGTAAATATTACACAACTCAAATACACAGAGTAATACAATTGATATTTAAGAGGACAATATTTAAACCTTATTTCATCTTATTTTGAGAAGAAGAAAAAAATCATTTGCTTGCTATTTAGACCTAATCTTGGTGATGAATTTGAAAGTAATCTATGACTTATCACTTACTGATTAAGCCATTACATGTATTGCAACAGAGAGAGAGAGATTACCGGTATCTGAATGTATTACTTTGAACATGATTCACTCTTGCAGTTTGTGTGGAGTGTAACTTGATGTACAAGGTGCAGTGCAAGTTCCACCCGTGTGATTACACATACATTTCAGACACGCCCATCCTTTCACATGCGCGGCTCACCCTACCGGCATGTTTAAGGGTGGGGACATCAGACATCATCGGTCACACAAATAACACAGGTCATTATAACATTACCTCTTCATTGTTCCCTTTGACCTCAGATCGTGTGTAAAAATTCACCTACAATTAAGTGCATCTTGCATTTTTCTTTCTGTGTTACGTGATTGTAAATCAAATTACTATGAGTTGTACATCAAATTACTATGAGTTAACTATAAAAAAAATACACATTTTAGTTGTTGTTCCTGACTTCAGTTATTTCTCTGAATACTTTTATCACATCCATCCACAATAATAGGTGTCTTTGCTAAGGAGACTATTGCAGTGAGGACTAAATTTGGACCTTTGATTGGTTCCCCAGTGTCATGTGATAAACTGGGGTCTACAAGGAGCTTTTCACTGTGGCAGGCAAGATACTTTCAAGAAGAATCATAGCTTATTGATGGAGATTTACTTAATCCGTGTTGTCCATCACTGGACACAATGTTGACAAATATTTTATTTTGCTTACATTTAAACTGCATTTTAATGGAAGCAAAGTAAATATGGTTTAAGAACTAATCATCAGAATATTTTTGTGGTAAATTTTCACTGTGTACCATTTAGTTTAAGCTCAATCACAATTTGTGATGAGAGTGTAATAAATGTCACTTATATCACTGTCCATGACAATTTATACTATTTATTTCACTCTAGTTAAAATTCATGCTGTAAACCATGTGTTTCACTCCATTGACAACTTACACTTTTCATTTCAGACTTTTAGTGGTACCGCCACCAAGGTCGTTGACACAAGTGATGAAAACTCCTCAAACTGGTTGATGTTTGTCAAACCTGCCCGCCTGTCGTCAGAGCAGAACCTGGTTGCTTTCCAACATGGCAGCAGTGTTTACTTTGTCACGAGAGTTAACATTGAACCTGACCAAGAGCTCTTGTATTGGTTTTCTAAAGATTATGCCCGGATGCTTGGTAAGCATTGAGAATGTATGTTTTAATAATATGAAAGGGAATAATTTTGAAAAATTGGCAACCGTGTTTGCCTTGGTATTGTTTATTTATAAAATACCATGCTGCATTATTTAAGGAAGTCATTTTATTTGTGATTCATCAATACAAGCAATATTTCATCATCTATTTATTGAACTGGAAATAACGTAAGCATAGATTGGATATTTTGAAGCAAATTACAATTTTTATCTTGGTTTTAAACAACTTTGTTTTTACAACTTTTAAGGTATAACAGCAAATCCCAAGAATGCTCATCATCAACTCTGTCCTCACTGTAATGTGTGCAAACAAGTATTTCCAGATAGGAAACAGGTAACCAACCAAACAAAATTCAAGCCTCATCAAAGCTTTCCATCGTTTGCCTAATAGAAATATTAATTAAATTGTTAGAATGATTTCAGATTTCTATCAAATCATTAAAAAAAATAAATTATTTCATTTCTGGTAAATACCATAATAAGTGAAATATTATGTGATTAATAGTTTAAAATTGTACATCTTGGTAGATCTTAGCTTTTTCACATTCAAATAAAACAGTCTTAAAGCATCTAGGATGATTCATTTTTTCAATATTCCAATTGATTTCTTGTTAGGTTCGCAGTCATACAAGAATACAACATCCAAAGCCATGCACTAAAAAGTGCAGCCACTGCTCCCGCAGGTTTTCCCAAGTGTCACACCTCAATGCTCACATCACATCTGTGCACCTGAGGGTCAAGAAGTTTGTGTGCCCCAACTGTGGGAAAAGATTTTCGGACAGTAGTAACTTTAGGAAACACGTCAAATCCCATTCGGGTAAGTTCCATCTCACTGTAGATTGTATTTAAATATCAATCTGTCTGTCAAGTAACATAAGGCCAATTTTTTAGTCCGTAAATTCTTTGCAGAGAAGTCATAAGCTTATGTTGTCAACAGATGAAAGGTGCTTCAAGTGCCAGATGTGCGGGAAAAGTTTTCGGCAAAAAGCCCATCTCATGCACCACATGAACACACACATGCCGGTGAAAAATGAAGAGTGTGGGTTTTGTGGAGAGAGATTTACACGGGCTTTCACAAGGAAACAACATGAGCTGCAGCACACTAAACAGAACAAGATTCAGTGCACTTATTGTGAAAAGGTTGGTTTGCTTACCTTACTGGGCAGAAAATAACTCAATGAATTTATTGCAAGGAGGTTGGTTTTTTAAAATAAAAAGAAGTAGCAGAATAACAGTTTTAGCTATATTAAGTAGAAAGGAATCTTTATTGGTAAATTTATGCAAGCAAGCTTCTGTTTTTATTAATAGATGGTCCTAGTTTAAATAAATTCCCCAATTCAGATATGTAAAATAACCTGTCCATGTAACATCTTCTCTTGACTGAGAAGAGATAATAATTGAGAAGAGGGAAGTCATATGATTATTATTAAATTGATGAAAATTTGTTTGTAAAAACAAATGAAAAATTGATTTACCCATTATTTGTTGTAATTCAGGATTTCATCTGTTTAAATATAAAAATGGTCCATTTGCATTTGCTGTTATTGTAATTGCTTGTTTTTGCTAATTTATAAATAATAATTTAAATGAAGTTAATTGCATATTCTTTTAATTTTGGGAAGCTAAATTTAAAAAAAAAAAGTTAATTACATAGTGCTTTTTTACAAGTTTATTTCTGCTTCCATTTTTAGATATTCTACAAACAGCAAGTGTACAAACAGCACTTGAAAATCCACCGCAATGAACGCAACTATGTTTGTACGCATTGCAACAAAGCTTTCCGCACCAAAGCCAACCTCACACGCCATGGGCCAGCATGCAAGCAGAAAAAATGTATCCTTCCATTGCCTACTTCTTCCTCGGTGTCAACCATGACTGCTCCTCTACACAAGACAGTCCCCACTCTACCTACAGAGTTCCTACATCCTAGTCATCCTGATGTCACAGTGTCCAGCTACAGTAATGATACCAAAACATCATCAGATTCCATCTAACATTGTAACATCAATAACTTATTTTTAATCTTTACATCATGACTATACAAATTCTACACTATCTTTCTGTTTGTGTACAATTGTTTTACTGTTGCAAATATCTGTTCTTGAAAAAATTGTTTATGGTGTAATTTAAATAGTTACACTTTGTCAAAGTCACAATTTATTCTTATTACTGACCTAAAGTGAACGTATTGCTATTGCAATAAATTTCATGCAATTTATTTTTCTGGGGAATGCTAGGACATTGTATCCACTGGCCCAACAGAAATTGTAAATAATGTTACCCAACACTGATTTTTGAATCAACTACTCTTCATAAATTAAATATATCACTATCACATGCAAAGTAGCAGTAAATTTAGGTAAATCATTATTTAAAATTGTATTTAACCTACTTTTTTTGTTTTAAAAAGGTTAATGGCTTGATTTGAAATTCTTAGATTATCTTTATTTACAATATCTCTAGAGCTCGATATAAAACACTCTGAAAGTTAAAAAATTGTTTAAGCTCCTTATTTAAAATTGAATGTTCATGGATTTTATTACTTTATTATTTCTTTTGGCAAAATTGTATTATACAAGTTTTTTTTCATATGTAAAAGTTCTTCCCACTCAGATACATGATTAAATTTGACCCCCATTGACATAAATCCTACTATAACATGTGGCATTCTTACAGAATGTGGTGACATTCCACAATTTAATTATCATCAGTATTATTTGTGTCCATTGACAATATCATATTCAGTATTATTTTTTTATAAATTGCACAGCATTTTCTTGAATGTAAATATTGTGTATATTGTAATTTATTATGTTATTTATCTACAGAAGTAATAGTAGACCAGACTATTTAGAAAACATCACCAACTTAAAGTTTGGTAAAATGAATTTATTTTACAAGAATGAATAGTTAAAACTTGAGATATTTCAAATATAAAGTTTAAAAAAATATTCAGAAATTCTGTATTGAGCGTAATACACAAAGATAAAAAGCACATGTACGGGAAAAGTCTTTTTTTTTTTGTGTACACTGCCCGAGCCAATACAAAGCTTTTTTAAACTCTCCACCCTAATTTTCCTTTTCAATACAGTTTTAATTAATTGTTTCTTTTATACAAGTTAATTCTCAATGTGCTAGGCTCAGAAATATTCTGAAAATGAATTGTACAATGAAATATATAAAAAAAAACATTTATAAGGATCAGTAGAAGAATCTTATACTAACTTTTCATTAAATTTAAATCACTTTTCTGATAATTTGTATGTAATATTTAATTATAGAAAGTTAAGAGGCTTTCCCAAATTTTAGGTTTGGCAGATGGGTGGTAAAGTTTCAAATTTTCTTCAGGGACCGGTGCCAGATTTATTATGTTTTTTTTGTTGACCATAAACATTCTTGTTGTGTCGACCGGCAGCGCTGCTCTAGATAGCATTTAAGGGAAACTGTCTTTTACAAATTGATTATAAATACGAATTCAGGGTCAACAAACAGGTGTAAAATGTAGTTAATGAGATTTAATGATTAATCTGTAATTTAATGTAATTAATTTGTTGTATTTGTATTCCTTCCTATTCCTGTACAGTGTATAGATTTGATTTTATTATCTGTCATGGTATTTGTGTGTGCAATATTGAAGTATAAAATAGGCATTATTGATACAAATTTACATTTTGCTTTCATTATTAAACCAGATATGTAATACAGAGCTGTTGTGTTATTTTTCCTTATTGTTGTTTAGATGACACACAGGAATCATAACCTTCTTTAGGACTGCTGTACAAAAAAAAAATTATTATGCAAATTTAAGTGTAATTATAATACTTCTATTGCGTTACTTTTCTACAAAAGAACTTGACCACACACCAAGTCATTTCTTTCTTTGCTATTTAAAAAATGAGCTGTTTGCTCTGCCCTTCTTTGATATAAGACAAACAGCTGCTAGCAGAAATTTCAAGCGTTGGCAGCTTCCTTACTAAAAGATAATTGAAATATTATGCAAAAGACATGTAATAATGAAGGGAACAAATTTAACAAAACTTATTACTGGGCATACAGCACCATAGCAGAGCCAAACTTTTTACTGTCCAGTACATAATTGCCTTGTTCAGCTCTAGTGTGCATATTAAAAATGATTTCACAGCAACAGGTTTGAAGCCTAAATCGCATATCCCTATAAACAGCAAGTTTTGATGTATTTATGCTATAATTTCATAAAATAATATAAAAAAGACAACAAAGTAAAAGTTAAAAATTTATTTTATTTATGTCAGTTATGCCTATGGTATTAACAAAGAACATAGTAGAAAAATAAAATGAATATATTCACACGTCATATGATCTTATTTACTTATTTAAAAACTACCAGAATCAATTTGTATTTGGAATGTTGTTATTTTAGGAATGTTTCAGTTTAGAAGGAAATACATTTACAGCTTTAATTTTTAAAATTCAATTAGATCAAACTATAGGGAGTTTTACAGTTTTAAAGAAAAGATATCAATAAAAAGGAATATTATTATTTTATGAAATAATGAAGGGAAAAAAAAAATGATCCTAATAGATTAAATCTAAAATTCTTGTTAAGAAATATATTGATGATTTTGAAACATTATTATGGACAGTGATGAGGGCCTATATACAAAGCAATATATGATTTGTGACACTTTCATAATCTTCCAATTTTTTAGTTCGCAGAATTCCAGATAAAACTCTTAATATCAACTGTGGAAACAAGGCACCTGAAACTTTTACAATGACAACAAAAAATTAACTTCTTAATATGGATAATTGACTATTTATACATGCAATGAGATTGATGTTAACGTGCTAACAGAAATTAAAATCAATTCACACACCTCACTAATACACATTAGTTAAAATATTAAATGTGTGCTATAAGAAATCCGTGTGTATGCATTAGAGAAGAATCTCAAAGAAGTAATATATTGTTTTTATTACATTTGAGATTTGGTTTCTAAGTTGGAAAAACATATTACTCTTAAAGCATGTAGAAAAAAAAATAAATTTGATATAGGATAATATTGGAATTTTATTTTAAAATGATTGGACTATTTGTTTCCATGAGAGGACTTAACATACAACAATCAAATAATTTATTTAAAAATTATACATGAAATAAATTTCAGTAGTTTAAAACATACAAGCAATGTTTCCAGGTTGGCTAACCCTGCTTTCACAAGAACACATTTTCCACCATTTTTTTTTCATGTGCACACAAATATATTATGTACATTGCCACAAAAAACTTTACAGAGGACAATTTGATTAATTATGCACATAGATGAATTACTTATTTGTCTTGAAGTGTTTTGCTTTTATAAAAAAAAGTCTTCAAGTTTATCCTTATTTCTAGGTATTGACAAATAGTAATATTTCTAATATATAAGGACATTCTCTATGTAAACTGAAAACAGAACAAACAACTGAATGAAATTAACCTGGAAAATATCTATGTAAAACCTTATATAAATTCAAAACATACGCAACTTTTCCACTTTCAAAATCAAACGCGTACTCAAAACAAAAGAAAAACTTAATTATTCATACTATTTTTTAACAAATTATAGGTAGAGTTAAGTTGGCGGGTGAAAAAGGTAAAGTCGTCAGGGAGAGTCATGTTAAATAAAATCAATAGTTAAAAATAAACGTACAGTATTTGTCTTAAACATTGTCGAATAACTAAAAGAAAATTTACTGTCCCACTACACACTGTTTCAAAAATACACATTCGCCCATTGAGATTAAGCATGAACATTATCTTATCACTGTCTTTATAACATCAAATTGAGCAGAGTTATAAATACAACCAAAACAAGGCTTGAAGTGATCGCAGCTGCCCCAGCCTTACGACATTTGAGAGTTTCAAATCTGAAAAGATCATGTGTTTGACATTAATTATAACTTTATTAATTCTGACTTGGTTTTATAAGCAATTAAGTATGAATATGAATGATTTTCGTTTTTCTTCATTTATATTCAAGTAATTGCTTTATTTACTATATATAACTATATTATATTTACTACAATTACTATAATAAGGATTATAATAAGTTAAAAAGCACTTACCTTTTTGTAAGGAAAGAAGGTATTTGGTTAAATATGACAATGAGTAATCGTATCTTCCATTTTCTTCATTGTCTATCATTTAATTGGCTAACTTTTAAACCCCAAATAGTAAAAGGAAATAAATGATAAAAATAAATCTAACCTGTCAGGGATTCCTTGCATCATTTTTTTGTACTCCTGTTCCATTGTCTGTCCATCGAAGTACCAATTGAGATCATTAAATGTGTATTCAAAACCTTGCCTGCACTCGCATTTGTAGTAGCCTGTACTATATCTTCGGCCTTCCCATGGTACACACTAGTGGAAAGATTTAAAAAAACTGTATCACCACCTAAGACTCTAAAAATATACATTTTTATTTCAAGGAAGACATTCAACATTTTAGATGAAAGAACAAGGAAAAAAAAGTATGTTTGTTTCTTGGTTATCTCCAACTTTATTGCATATGTTTTTAGGTTTAAAAAAATAATGAACTTAAGAAATCCACATCTATGTGTCATCTTTTTGCTATTTTAAAATTCATTTTTTTTTTGATAACAAACTAAGTCATTATGGTACCCAAACTGAGATTAGAATGAATGAGTTTAAAACAATGTTTAGTATATTATTTGCTACGTATTCATGTACCTATGCAGTATTAAGATTTGATCTAGTAAAAGTTATGTAAAAAGCAAGATTAAAAAATGTGTAAGCTTAATTAATTTGATGAAAAATAATAAAAGCAAAACTCATAATATTCTGAAATGACCACAAAGACATGCTTAAGCGTTGTTGTCACTCCTGTATTTGGTGTCGACCTTCGCTGCCACTGTTATTGACACTAGGAAACAATCACTGCCTTCATCCCGTGACTATTCCGCCAGTGCCAAGGACAGGAACAGGAGTGCTAGTTTAGCAGCACATTGAACAGTTATGTCAATAATAAGTGTGCTTGGATTACATGCAGAATAGTAGTGGAGCTGGCAATGATCTTATCCAACTAAAGTTCTCATGAAATCAAGACTTTAAGACTCTTGGAACAAGTCCTTAAATCCTTAAACAAATATAATGTATTCTATGTATTCATATTATTTTCCCATTCATTATGTAAATGAAATGAAAATTAGACTATTATTTCATGCTTGAATATTTCAATCTGGTAAACTCAACTTTTTATAACATGCACTTATAAATCTTAAATTTTGTCCAGTAAAGTATTCACATCATATTTATATTTCCATCTGCTCTTATTATGCAATAA